TATTTCTATTTGTGTTCGTAGTAGCTTCAGAGCGATGATAAATACGCGTACTTCTCTATTCTCTATGCGACATTAGAATGAAAAAATTTCTGAGATGTTTCAGAAGGGACAACCAAGATTGTTTCGTTTATTGCAAGATGTTTCGATGGATTTTTTAGCATACTCTCATTCTTAACATTAAAGGCCATACAATCTCAGTTCAGGTATGGAACAGCTGCTGAATCAAAAACAAATTTGAAAATATCTACTTACTTTAATGCTTGTATTGTTAGTTGGAATTATATAAATTTACATGAACTGTTTCAGTTAGGTAGCACATTTTATATTGAATTTAGAAGGGAATAAACCAACTCAGTGTTGTCTAGCATACCATGATCAGATAAAAACAGTTGCGACAAAAACCTACTTTGCTAGTGAATCATTATGTACCCTTACGTCAGAATGATAAAAATTTCGAGAATATGATATGTGAATGTAGATATTAATAAGCCACCAGAAGGTTTCACTGCTCTTCAAAGTACATCATCAGCACTGTCAAAAGAAAGTAGTTTAATAAACCAAAAACAAAATTTCGAATCCGTTGGCAGTCACAAACTCTTCCAACCATTTATTACAACATCAAAATGCGTACGAACACCCTTTTGTAATACCTGAAATACTTAGGTTACAACACTTTTTGAAGGACTTATCATTTAGCTTTTTTTTCTCTGAAACCGTATCTTGAGAGTGGAGTGTGAGTTAAAGCAAACTACGAAGCCTTTCCACCTTGCCCATGTGTTTCTTGATTGCCGGTGTGGACGTGGGTGTGAGCGAGAAAAAGATATAAACTCACACCCAGGCCCACACCCACGCCCACACTCGCGTGTGTTTTAATTTCTTTATGAAGAAAACAACAAATTTTAAAATTAAAAAGTTTTCATTTGATCAAGAAAACTTTCATTTGTTATTTCAGTAGATATGTGAGCAAAGAGCGAGATTATCATTTCTTTCTTTGTTTCTTCTTCTTATGTTTATGATTCAAGCGCAAAAATATAATTCTAACGACAAAACAATTGAACTTAATTCTAATGATGAACTATATACTAAATGATAATTTATATATGATAATATATAAACAAGATCCGCAAGTGGCATGAATATGACAAATGTTTTTTAAATATATTCTTTTATGTTAAATGATCATAGTTGTTAATAAGGTCTTTCTAACTATGAACCAATGAGGTCTCTAGCTATAAATGCGGTTGAGTTATAGCAAAAACAAAAATGTCTTAAACTTATGTCCACCACTTTACAGATAAGCAACATAAATCATTTAGCAAATGGAATACTGAGAAAAACTTCACAGCAGATGTCATTAAAATCATATTTTTTGTCCTGTCGTATGAAGATACCGAATAGATTCGAAGTTTTCAATATGCAATCAGATTTCTGATATCTTCTTATTGAGCGTGAAGACTAAAACTTTGACTAGTCATTGGTGAATTTGTGAACAAATGATATTTGTAATAAGAAGAAAAATATACAATATATAAAGCAAGCAGAAAGTGATTAATTCGAGCGAAAAGTCGAGAATATGTAAAGAAATCAAAAAATTCTGCCAGCAATATCAATATTGAAGATGGATGAGATTGAATTCAGCAGTGAGGAAAACGATATACGAATTCTTTTTGTTTAAAATGAAAGTTGATCAAAAGTAGGAAGACTTCCCTTAGCCAAGCCGTAATCGATAGTCCGTTGCAAGTGAGCTTGAACTTGAGGGTAAGCATAAAATAGATTGCTCAATGGTGCAAGTGTGCGATTGACGACTACTGGCTGCTGAGGAGCACTGACTAACCAAGATCTAAAAGAAAGAATAAAGTAATGCAAAAAAATGAGAAATAACGAGAATGTCCAAAAAAACTAATGATACTAGTACTGACTGTTCTCGTTAAATTCGTTATCAATGATAGCTACTAAAATCAGACATAAATAGATCTATAGACATCAATATGTGGAATTTTTTCATGTTCATTTCCATGAGTACTAGCTAAAAGTATTTATTTTCACTTACTCATAATCGGTCATTCCTGGAATTTGAACTACCGGCGGTTGATACACAGCGAAACTCTTTGAGTTCTTTCGAAACGATTCACTCATGTTCTTGTAGATACTTTGAGACTCTTCTACACTGGAGTGACAATGAAACCAGTGACAGACCACTCTTGTGATTTGCGTCCTCGTTTCTTCATATGCTGATGAATTCATGTAGGTTTCGTTGATGAAAGTGTAAACATGAGCAGTAGCACCCACGATTACCTGTGTGACATAATGAGTTCCATAAGTTTCTACAAGTACATTATAAAGAGTTTGTTCACTGTCACTTGTTGGTATGGGAAGACGCACAAGAGCAGTCACACTAGCGTTGAAGAGAGGATCGAGTCTAAAAACATAAACAAACGCACTTAAACATTGCTTGGCATTTCACATGTCGTCTTAAATATGTATAAATGATCAATGTACAGAGATTGAATAGTATGATAACACTAGCTATTAAACGATTTGTTATGTCGCTCTTTAATAGGATTCTATTCCTCTCCATATCAAATCATTTTAGGAATATTCGAGATTTTTTTCCTGTGATTCCATGTAAGATTCTAAAAATCGTATCCGAGCGACAATGCAAGAAAACTTCTTACTTGAGAAGGGAAGGTGGTCCTAGTCGGATAGAATAGAGACCCCACCAAGAGGTCGATGTGGCAACTGTTTGAGCATTTTTTGTCATGGCATCGTAGATTTGTTTCAAAGTTCCTGGACTTTGAGGTGATCCTCCGAAGAACAAAAAGGGCCAACCACTAGGCCGAAAATAGCTGTTTAATAAGAAGAAAGATTCTTGTAAGAATGAAATGAGAAACGAAATTTATATTTACTTTGAATAAAACTGGTTGAAATTTTTTGATAGATCCTCAACAATCACTTCACGTCGTACGCCAATCTTGGTTACTTGGGTGTACAACGGAATATTGTAAGTACGCTCTTTGCCTGCCGCATTGACTATAAATGGATATGGACCCTTCTCGCTTAGATCAAATATCCTAAATTTCGAAATCTTGTCCGATTCTAAAAGCATCCCTATGACATCAAATCCTGATTCAATCTCATCGAGACCGGGCAGACGATCCGAGTCTATTAATGCTGCCGTTGGCACGTTAGATACAAACGTAATGATAGCAAAGATTAGAGGAAGAGAGAACATATTCGATCTGTAAAAAAAAAAGAGATTTTCCAATTTTAACAAACTCAATGTAATACTAAAAATAAACAACTTGAAGAAACCACTATGTGTTACTCTGAACGAGTCATAATCATGATGCTTATTATCGTGTGTAATACAAAATCATGTCAAACACAAATACTTATGAAACTTCGATTTAACTTGCGCCGTTCTTTCTTATATTTTATTCAATATTTAATATTCAGGCTTCGTGTTCTTTTTTCAGAATATATACAATTAGTTATTGCTGTAACCATGCGTAATCAAGTGGTTTAATTCATTTTTCTTCTTCCTTACTCGATAATACAGTATACCACGTCATATGAGTCAATGTATGCACTTTTTTGAGTGTTTACTCTCCATTCCCCGAAAAATCTAGCAATTCAACCCTAAAACAATAGTCATATATCAAGTTGCAGTATTCTAAATGTGTATCATTACTTCCTTTTTTCTTTTTTCAGATATGACAATGTCTATAGACTTGTTATTTAATAAACATTAAATGCTTATGATTATTGTATTTCTATTTACATTAACAAGATCAGTAGCGCGAGGGCAAAACGGATATGGGTGTGTGGGTGGTGACTTCTCCGTATCTACGCCCATACCCACACTCATAAAACAACTAAATATCAAAAACGAACTTGCAGGTTTCAACCTAGCCAGACACACACAGAGTGAAGAACGCAAAAAAATTACCTTGTCATGCTAAGAAAAGGAAGAATATAACTAAAATCTTGATATTTATAAACTAACGATAAAGAAATTTTTGATCTTTATTTCAAAAAATAAAGATGATTTTTAACTTTTAACAAATAGCTCATAAAAAATATGATTTTGTAGAGTTACATAAAGTATACAGAAAAATTTTCTACTTATATGTTTTCACGTAACAGCTTTGATGTTAAATTAATATCATATGTCGAAGTAAAGTCGACAATAAGAAAGAATGTTGACTAACAGACTATTTTTTAATACTACGTAGATATTTATTAATTAATCTGTCACAAACAAAAGTCCTTCTTCAAGATTTTTTT